TAGGAGTGGGGAAAAAATAAGAACCAAGATGCATTATGTAAAGGTACAATTCCCAATGAGAAATGTAATTGTGTTTTATACCTACAATGTACCAATAAAAGAATTTTTAAAAAAGAAAGAATTCATTCAAGAAAATAATAGTGTTCTTCAAAAACAATATTAAATATTTTAGTTACAGTGGACCCTTGACTTACAAACTTAATCAGGTCCCGAGGGGTGGGTGTTACTGAAGTTGGTTGTAAGTCAATACAGCTGAGATCTGGATGTTTACTTGCGTACACACTATGGATAACAAGAGGCAGATGAATCTTCTATTAACCTAATTAACCTAAGTTGTTCATATGTCAGGCCAGCTGTAACTTGAGGGTCTACTGTATTCTATTCTTCATCAAAAGCATGGAACATGTACCCATTTGGATGGAGATTTATCCTGTGCTGGTTGCTGAACAAGGCAACTAAAACAGGCATGAATTCTTTTTTCTGGAATAGTCTGACAAATACTGGAAGCTGACAGGAAAGCCAAAAGCAGTCATTCTCCAATTGACAGAAGTGCTCAGTAAAATCTAATTGAACATTTAGCTCAGTTTTAGAAATTATTTTGAAAAGAAAACTTACACGAACATTCGTTCTGACATTGTTAACAAGGCCCAGGGACTTTTTGTCATTGAAAAAGGAATTATAAGGTTGTATTTTTTTGGTACCAGGGATTGAACTCAGGTCCTTGCACTTGGGCAGCAGGCGGCAAAACCACTGAGCTAAATCCCTGGCCCAAGGAATTATAAGTTTTTAAAAATTAAGACAAAATTCAATATATATTAATAATAAAAGCAGTTTACCAGAGTGATTGTTGTTTGATTGATGGAATGATTGAGCATTGCTTTAACACCTGCTCTCCCTTCAATCAGCCAAACATACAATATACACATTTTCTTGTCTTTAGTTGGCTTATATTATCTCACTCTTTCCCATGTCATCACTAATAGAAATGCACTTCTATTTGTCTAGTCCTTTATGCATTGAATAGAGGATTTGCTTAATTATTCAATCTCAGGACATAATAGTCTAATATTATGCACATGGTAGGTCTGAAATCTTGTATTCTTTGCACAAAGTAGGAATTGTCTTTGAAATTGCTTGTATTTTCTGTTCACTTTAGGAATTGGTTTTAAATTATTAAGTTATGGCATAGAGAAGATTTAACATTAGATTTATTCATTTCTTATTGGTGACTAAACTGAGTGATTCATTTATTGACTTGTTCTTTTATCTTTTATTTTCTTTATTTTTTAGTATAATACATTTAAGACATGACTCCTCTCTCAAGAAATTTATGTTGTACTGTTCCTGTCTGACCTCCAAGACAATGCACAATATTACTCATTGCTCTAAGGATCCTTTATTTTGGTACTGTGGTTTGAAATCAGGATTTTGCACTTGCCAGGCAGGAGTGGCGCCACTGAGCTATATCCCCACACTGTTCTAAGGATCTAAGGCCAAATAATACAGGTTGAGGATCTGTAATTGAAAAAAATCCAACCTGAAATGGTTCAAAATCTGAAACTTTTTGAACACTAACATGATGCCACAAGCAGAAAATTCCACACCTAACCTAATGTGAGAGGCCATAGGCAAATTTCAGAATTTAGGTACATTAAAAATATGGTATAGGGCCGGGGATTTAGCTCAGTGGTTTCGCTGCCTGCTGCGCAAGTGCAAGGACCCGCGTTCCATCCCTGGTACAAAAAAAAAAAAATTGTATAAATTACCTTCAGGTTATATATGTCAGGTATATATGAAACAAATGCATTTCATGTTTCAAATTGGATTTTATAGCTAAGATATCTCATTATGTATATGCAAATATTTCAAAATTTAAAAAATCTGAAATCTGAAACATTTCTGACTCCAAGTATTTTGAATAAGGAACACTCAACCTGTATTCGTGTGTGTGTGTGTGTGTGTGTGTGTGTGTACCTCACACTTTTTTATCTACTCATTTGAAGGACTTTTGGGTTGTTTTCATGTTTTGATTATTATAAAAATGGCACTGAGAAGATGGGAGTATAGGTGTCTCTTTGAGACCCTGTTTCCAGTCTCTGAATAGATGACCCAGATGTGGGAGTGATAGAACATATGATAGCTCTATTTTTATTTTTTCTATTTTTATTTTATTTTTCCATAATCCTGGAGAATTTTTCTTGAAGCTTAAATACAGATTTCACCAATGAATGGTGTGGGGAGGCTTGGGACAGGTGACCGGGGAATGAGAGTAATGTGAGGTTATTCATGATTTACAAACATCTAAGTATGTTTGATCTTAGAAGAGTGACTCAACAGTTCAATTTTGAAGACAGGTAATACTATTAAGTGTACAAAGTCAGAAGAAGGCAATAGAATATTATGGAAATGTTGTTTAAAAGTACTGAAAGTAAGTCATGTATTATCTATTCGCATCACCTTATTTTGATTTATTTTTTTTATCACCTTATTTCAAATATGAGGAAACTGAAGAGCAGAGAGACTAGGAAATTATTATAATTTTCTGTAGTTTACTCAGAGCTTGATAACTTGTATATTTAACTTGGAAAATACAGAACTGAAATCCAAGATTGTTAACAATGAATTTAATACACTTTCCATTGTGTGAAATCAAAGTGGTTTTGTTTTTGTTTCTGTTATATCAGTGGTGATTTTGTATTTTTCATTTACTTTTTTGGTAGGACTCCTTTGCTTCAGAACTGGAGGCAGGGTGGTTTAGTGACTTTCCCCTTCTTAAGACCTGATATGTTATAGTTGTTTATGCAGTTACTCATGTTGGTTCTTTTAAAAGTGGAAAACACTACAGACAAAATTTCTGGGATCTTGTGAACCATGGAGGCATCTGACTGGCAAAATTTATTCTTTTAGGTACAATAAAATGTAATAGCTTGTGGAATAAAGTGGTATGAGAACTGGTAAATCACTAGAAGAAAGGAAGAGCTTTGCTTCAATGTAAGAGCCAAACTTATTTTAAGCTACTTTTCAAAACCAAGAGCAAACACGAGTAGTTAAAAATAATTCCCCAGAGGAAAATCATTTTTTAACATCTCCTTTTTTCAGGAATAAAGACTTGAAGTTTAAAAAATATTAAGTAGCAAAGATAGCAGATTAATTTTACACTTGTCTTATGTTGAGCTTCGGGATGTCCCTGTTGAATCTGTACTCTGTAATGGTGTTTTAGAGTGACAGGAAGTTAACATCAGAGAATGTGTTATATCGCCTACCTTTCCATTAGAACTATAAAATTAAAAATATATATTCATACTATTATATCAACTTTAGGCTGATAGAAATTTGTGTAGAATAGTATTTTTACTATGTATCTGAAAAGTACATATATTTATAACTTATAAGTTCATATTTAGATTTGTTGATTACCAAAACCATGATATATTCATATTATGAGGAAAAATCTCAAAATATAGAAAATAAATGTTCTAACCTTATAGCAATGTAAATGCAACAGGAAATGAAAATGTCTCACATTTTTAAGAGCTTAGAATCATCACAAACTTTTTACATGTAGAAAATATAAATGATATAGAAAGTCAATTATGGACATATTAGGAAAATTTTACAGATAGACTATCTCTCAAGAATATACCTTTTTTTTGGTACCAGGGATTGAACTCAGGACCTTGTGCTTGCAAGGCAGGTGCAGTCCCACTGAACTAAATTCCTGGCCCAAGAATATACCTTTTTAATATTCTCATGATAAATACACTTTTTGTACTGTAAATATGAAGCTTTTTTTTACTAATTCAAGTTATTAAGAACACTGTACTTGTTGAATACATTTATGCTAGAGATATGATTCACAGAACTAAATTTCTTAAAGAAATAATTTGCTGTCACACTATGACAACAAAATTTAATTAATAAGAAAACAACTATTAATTGACTATTACAGTAAGCATATTTGTGTCACAAAGAAAGATCTTCCTTTTACTTATATATTAGCTGAGCTACATAGGTATGCTATATTTGTGTCATTTATAGGAGTTCTAGAGTTCATTTTGGAATCTGTGTCTCTTTGGGAAGTAAAAATTAATTTCTAGCTTGATTTCTGTTTTATTCCTACTTTACTTCTGATTTTCTGTTTTCTTATTTACAAGACCAAAATCAGTATTTGCAATATTCCATCTTCAGTTTACAGTTTTGAGTGGTAGTCAGGAATTATTTGACTGAACAGTTTTCAAAAGTTTCTTGTACATTTCTGACTTCAGAAATCTGGGATAGGAATCCATTTCCATATGCATGTACACTATTTTTTGAGCCTCTTCAAAACATGTCTGAGTGGGTTCTTGAATGTTCTTGATGATAGTTTCTCTTATAGAACTGTCAATGTTAATCTGAAAAGTGAAATAACATGTAGAGAATAAGTAAACATAATCGAAGATAGACACATAAAATGGAAAAGCTAAATTTATTCCCCTTCCCCTTCACTGAAATATGAGTTTGTGAGCTGTTTCCATAGTTATGTAAAAAGACTTATAAACCCTTTTTTAAAGTGAATACTGTAACCACTTTCACATCCTAAAGGAATAAAGAAACCTCAAGGCCCTAGACCAGGGAAGTCTCAGAAGCCATTGCTTACTGAGGTGGATACAAGTGGTTTGTTAGTGGAAGTCTGCAAACAAGGAAGTTTATGAAATGAAGGTCTCTTTTTACGAAAAGGGAACTTGGTATTATTTATAAACTTATCTTTCTTAATAGTAACAAATCTGGATATGGTCAGAAATGGGAAGAAAGTGAGAAGTGAAGAAATAAAGGGGAGAAGTGGTTATTTTAGTAAACCAAAATTTTCCATGTAAGAGTTTTGGGAAATAAGTCAATAATACTCAACTACCTTTAGAGATAGAAATCTTATTCACTATCCTGTATCTTTCCCCCCTTGACCAAAATTTCCATTCTTCACTTTTTCTCTTCTGGGAGTCTTGCTGAATCTCCTTCACTTGTGACTATTTTCTTTAGGTAGTAGGACATCACTGGCAGTAATGCTGGATGTCTGCTAGCTTTGTACTAAGGTGAGCAGTTAATCTCTGGGCCAGGCTGTAGTGGCTGAATGCCTAGCACCACTGGCAATGTGCTCATGGCTTTTTATGGCATTTCTATTTCATGCTGGCAAGAACAATTCTTCTAAGTATTGCCTTTTACTTCTTAACTTTCCTGGGACTGAGAATTAAGATAATTTAATGAGGAAAGATGTTGGAGCCAGACAGCCTAACTTTAAATCCTGTTACTACTGAACAGCTGTATGACACTGGGTGGATTAGTTAATTCTCAGATTCTCACGTTTCTTTCCTGTAAAATGTTAGCAATATTGAAATTTACAGCATTTTAGGAGATACTGAGATGTAAAGTGCCTGGCATGTATGAATACTTGAAAGATATTAGTGCCCTCCAAAGGATGTACCAATTTTCATCTCCCGTAATTATTACCTCTCTAGGGGACTGTGGCTGGATGTAGATCTTATAAAGCTTCTTCGCTCTAGAAATTCTGCTCCACCGTGAGGCAGTTTTCTTATAGCTTTCACATGCCATCCAGAATTTAATATTCTCATCACTGTGCTCCATTTTTAAATATGCTGCATAGACTGCAGGACCATCTAAAAGTAGTAGAGAAATCCATTTATTTTCATTGGTTAAAATTATAAAAAATGTGAGCAGTATTTAATGCAGTTTCAAACAAAAATCTGAATAAAAATTTAATAAATGAATATTATGTATATATCTATCACACAATTAGATCTGTACACCTGTAGCATGTATGACAATGCCAGTCACTGGTGACGTTAGTCCTTTATTTTCACTCACTCATTTGCAAATATTCACCAGTGAATTGTCCGATGACCAATGTAGATGGTCTTATGAACGGTGTGGGTGGTCCTATTACAGATAGGACAGGAGATAGCACAAGGACACAGAAAAAAGAATTAAAATGGACAAGTAGACAAAGCTCTGATCATGGAATTACTTACACAAAATCAAAGACCTCAGATCAAACTGATAGGTAAGAGTAGAGTTTAGACTCTAGACAGACAGGTGCAGTTTGGAAGCAAACTGTCAAGCCATATAGGAGTGGTACACTGATTGGCCTGGAGTGCTTCTCAGTGTCCATTCGGGTTAGAAGAGTACAGACAGATGAAAAATTGAACTTCATGTGTATGTGTTATGATTCAAAGCAGAAATAAGCACCAGTTAAGAAAATGAATTTAGAAGGGCTGTTTGAAACTATCTGAGAATCTAGTACAAAGTTGTGGTTATGCTGAGCGTAACCATCAAATGACACTTGATGCTGAGATGGGTATCCTCAGCTTTGGTCTTAAACTATCTTTCTGAAGTGAGCAGATAAGGACAAAAGTGGGAGGAGCTTTTCTTACTGATCCCCTATTTTGTAGGAACTCTTGTTTGAAGGAGAAAGTTTGGCGAGCTTTCATAAAATTTAACACATTAGTCACAATCTTTGGAAAAACCAAATATTCTCAAGGGTCAAGATGAATTATTTGAGATAAGTATTAAATTTATTTTAGTGACTGTAAATTATCTTAGTGTAGGGGGCCAGGGATTTAGCTCAGTGGGTTTTGCCGCCTTCTGCGCATGTGCAAGGACCCGAGTTCGATCCTCGGCACCAAACAAACAAACAAACAAATTATCTTAGCGAATCTGAGAAATTGAATTGATGAATAAAAAAATGACAAAATAGTTTTCAATTGATATAATAGAAGTGTATGTATAGTCACACTGAATATGTGACTACTTAGAGAACAGTTGTTAGCATAGAATTTTTCTTTTATGAAAAGCAGTACATAATTTAATGTACATAACTTGATGTATTTGGAAATAAGTATATACCTATAAAATGTCATCACAATTGATGATATAAATATATTCATCAACTCTAAAAGCATAGGATATTTATTAACAAAATCTTTATCATTTTCATTAGCCTCTATGAAAAAAAAATAATCAAATGAAATGGAAATGATGAGTAAAACCATATTTTCCTGGGTCTTCACATGTGAAAGTAGATAAGATTTTTGAAAGCCAGGCTGCTTGTCTCCTTAGTTTCTACACATACTGTCAGCAGTGATACAGGAATAAAGATAATAATTAAAATATTTTGTATTCAAGAAAAGAACTCGAATAGAGTTAGGTCCCTTGTAAGAAGGCATTAGGATTAGGCAATGCCGGTAATCTGGAAGAAAGAAGGTACCCTTGCAATACACCGACTTAGAGCATGGTTTACTGCTATGACATGCGCAGATGTAGCCTTCATGCCATTGGGTGGCAGATGGATTGACAGAAAGACAGAAACATCACTGGGGTGAAAGGATGAAATAGATGGGGGTACAGCATGCATAGAAATGTAGCATAAGAAATAACATAGATTAGATATTCAGACCTAATGGGGAATATAATTTAGATTTCAAATAAGGAGTTTATTTTCATACCAAAGTGACTTTAAGTTGTACTTGCCTCACTATAGGCACAGAAAGCTGGGAGTGGAGAACACGAATGTAGCAATCAGTGGTCATCTTAGAAAAATTGAAACGATGGGCAAAGTAACTAAAGTTAAAAGTCAGTATTTTTCAGTACATATTTTAAGAAACCATTCTATTAAAATGAAGAAATTTGTATAGTTTATACTCAGGAATTTTGACTGAATGCTTTACTAGGAACAGAAAATAAAGAGCTCACAATCAAAAAATAAGCTGTGGAACAGGAACAAAAAAAGATGTCTAGTAAACCCCACAGATTATGGCATGCAATATGCTTCTTGGATGAGTTAACTGGATGAGTGGGTAGAGGTAGGAAAATAATCTGGAAGCCAACATTGTATTCCAAATTGTAGTATGCTGAATTTGTATTTTATGTTTAGCTTAATTTTATATTAAATGTTTACAAATTCTCATTTATTCCGGCCTTCTCTAACTTCCCTCCTGATAGAGAGGTGTGAGTATCTTGGCTTCTTTTTTGTCCTGGCCTGATGGTTCCACAATTCTTGACATACTTGATTCCAATGAAGTCATGTCTGCATTGCTATACACATTGTTTTATATTTTGCAAGTTATGGTATTATATATATGTGATTTAAAATATAGTATAGCATAGTTACTTGATACGGTAGCATGTAGCATTGTTCTTAGTTATTCCCATCCCTTTTCCTATGAGGATTTTATTTCCTTGTCTCATTCATATCTGTATTGGCCACTGGGCTTTTGCTAATCAATGATATATGTGCAAAAGCTCCACGCACAGCTCTAAGAAAGTGCATTGAGAACCTTCATATACTCTGATCCTCCTTTGCCATGAGAAGAATACATTCTAGAAAAAAACCTGCTCCTTTAGCCTCATGTCCAGAATGAAGACATGGAACAGAGCTCGAGCTTACTCCAGTTGTCTTCTATCATAAATGAGAAATGAACTTTTCTTACTGTAAATCAGTGAGATTTTCATGTCACTTATTAGTATATCATTACTTTGCAAAATACATTGACCTGGACTACTCAAACCTGTCTGAAATTTCAGATATGATTTTGGTGCATAGAATGAGTAGAATTAACTGATTGGTATGTTTTACCAATTCTGTATATATTCTATTTTTTTGCCAGAGTACACTATAAATTAAGCAAGCAACTGAAAGTGTATATGTATAAAAATGTTTCAGGAATCTTAGTAAACATTATAGTCAGAATTGAACTACTTAGTTTAGAATTTCTATTGGTGCACACATCAAGGGAATTACAAGGTGGACAATCTTTATCAAATCAGACAATGGACCCCAAGGTAGCCCGTTTTGAAGTTTTAGTGATACTCATTCCTGAGCATTATGCTCAAGAGATCATGAGTCTGCTCGAGAAGAGTGAATAAAGGATAAACAACAGAATTGCTCATTTATGTTGAGTGGATGGAAGAAATAAGCTGAAATCATAGGAGTGTATACCTTTTCCTTGACGAATGAAAGTGGTGCCTTTGGTAACCACTTGCTGTTTTAAACTAGTCACTGAAATTAGCATTTCTATGACACAAAAGATGACACATGCCAATGTTCCAGATTCAGAAGGAAAATGTGGTATTTCTTTTGGCTGAGTCAGAATAGAAACCTATCTAATTGCAAGATCGTGTCTTCTACAAAGGTGGCAAATCATACATCATGCATTAAATTTTAGAGATGTGGTATGTCCATTAGTACACATTAGAAATGCATTAGAACCAAGTTTATTTATTTATTTATTTTTGGTACCGGGGATCGAACTCAGGTCCTTGCGGTTGTGCAGCAGGCAGCAAAACCACTGAGCTAAAGCCTCAGCCCCGGAACCAATTTTAAATCCATTTTCTATTTAACCTACCATTGAGGATAATGAATTCCACAATTCTACCAGAATCCATGTGAAGTTTTATAGTAAATCTTCTGTTTCATTAAAATTCTCTGGTTTAGCTTCTATGACATTAATCAATTTTTACTTTTCTCCTTTTTCTTTGCTGTATCACTATAAAGGTAGTTTCAAGTACTATGAGTTGTTTTTAATACAGAAAATATAAACTAATAACTATTGTTTATAATTTATTATATTTCCTTTTACTCTTTCAGTTCTTTGATCATATATAATCACGTATTTTCCTAGCATTCAGTTATCTACACAGAGAGCGAAACACAAATTACTTATTGACATTACATAATAGAAAAACATTTTTGTATCACTATTGCTCTTTCATACTTAATATCATGTATTAAAAGCTTTCACCTTTTTATTTTCAGTAATAATAGTCCATCGAAGGGCTAGGTCCTAACACAGTCATCCTGCCGTATCCACAGGGATGTGGTTCCAAGATCCCCCCCTGAGGATACCAAAATCTAATCCCTCACAGACAATGGCATAATATTTGCATATAACCTGCACATATCCTCTTGTATACTTTAAATTATCTTTAAATTACTAATAATGCCCAATGTGGATAGTTGTTATACTGCATTGTTTAGGGAATAATAACAAAGAAAAATATTCGTACATGTTTAGAATTGACTCATTTTTTCCTAAATACTTTTGATCCATGTGAAATTAGTTGAACCCACAGCTGCAGAACCTGTGGATACAGAGGGCTGATTGTGAATTTAGCCATCCTACAATTTTTGCAATTTTACTCCCCTCTTTTTTGTTTTAAATAATCCAACACTGGATAGTGTTATACATTTATAAATCCTTGCATCTGTAATTATTTTCTTAGAAATTATTTAAAGGAGTGGAATCCCTAGAATGAGGATATAATATTTTTCGAGACTCTCAATACATACATATGGTAAAATTGCTTTCAGAAAGACTTTATTATTTTTCACTATCAAGAGCAATATCAGTGTCTATGCACTCTACCCTTTCTAATCTGATGGATTGATACCAGTAGCTTGTAATTGTTTAAATTTGTGTTTAAAATATTAATTCTTGAACATTTTCCTTTTTCACAGACCATTTTTTTGGTGTAAACATCAAATCTTTTGTCCATTTTTCTTTTGTATTGTTAGTGTTTTCTTAACTTTTTAATTTTTTTTTGTAAATTAAAGACACCATTTTGGTTATATTTATTGTATTTTCATCTGTTTTCTTTGTAAACATTTATTTTTGTTTATTACCATCATAGTTTCTTTTGCTGGGACAAAACCCACCATCCACAAGTTAAAGGAGGAAAGGTTTATTTTATCTCAGGTTTGTAGAGGTTTCAGTACATAGTTTGCTGGCTCCATGGCAGGAAGGCATGTCTGAAGGGCATGGCAAAGGAGAAACAGTTCATACCATGGCAGACAGGAAGCTGTGAGACTTCCTTCTTCTTTTCCTTTCTATTCCATCCAGGCTATAAACCCTGTTGATTGGTGCTGCCCTCTTCAATAAGTCTATCACCCACACCTAGAGCTATGCTAAAGCAATCTGTGGGTAATCCAGTATTACACACCTATGATCCAGTCACTCCCCAAAGCCTCACCTATAAGCACATGAGGCTCAGGGGGCCTCTAGATATAAGCCATAGCAATGACTTTTTCTTAAGAGTAGGAAATTTATTGAGGGAGAGAAAGCTCCTAAGAGCTAGGAGAGGACCTGGAAAGTAGGTTGGCTAACAATGACTTTTGAGGTGTATTTGTGAGCCATCTTGTATGAAAAAGCTTCAGCTTATCTACTGGGCCCTGCTTTTGTATCCTGCATGGTTCTGCATTTTAAAGGGACTCTTTATAGGTTTTGAAAAGTGAAGAAATAGGCCCTAATCATTCACCATCCAAGAAGCAGTAAAGACCAAAAGATTATATTTGGCATGCTATTGTTTTTCTGTTTTCTGAGAGTGAGAAAAAAAGTGCTAACTGAATGGTGATGTCTGTAAAAGGCTGAGCTTTTCTTTTTCTCCAGCAAGGTAAAGAAGAGTGTGAGAAATTTAAAAAGACGAAAGTACTAAATTGAAAGAGCCGAGGCAAGGCACTGTGTTAATAGAAGTGTTGATGAGCGTAACCATGGAGACAGTAGTGGTTAGCAGAGATTAGAATAAATGATAGTACAAGAAGCTGGCAATCTAGAGTGAGAAGAAAGAACCTCTCACAGTGAAGAGAGCTGAGATAATAGCTCTGCCTGTAGATGAGGATGCACACGAGGGAGCAGCAAAATGCATCAGTGTCTGCTCTGCCTCTGCACAGATAAAGATGCATCAGACAACACAGATGATTCGTCAATATGAAGCAACCATCACTGCTTTCAGCAGTGTGATAATCCTACACTGTACAACTCAGAATTTCCAAGATTTTCTGAATGTGATTATGATAATTTAGGGAGAAAAGTATATAGCACATTTAAGGATGATGTTGACCGAAGTTAAAAGATTGATCCAGACATTTGTCTATCACGAATGCTTTAACTGTATCCCTGCTCTGCTACTCTGCTGGAACATCCTGAAAGCTTCACAGAAAAAACACATAACCATACTTCTACACTTGAAATCATCACTGCAGGTTTTAAATGGGTACTTAACAATACCCAGTCATCAGCTGGTCCTTCTCTAGTATCACATCTCCCCTATTTTTTTCCAGTTGGTTCATAGTTTGAGGGCTTACATTTAAGTTGTGGTCCATTTTTAGTTGATTTTTGAGATGGTGACAGATTGGAGTATAGTATCTTTCTTCTGCAGATGGGTATCTGACTTTTCCCAGCATTATTTATTGAAGACTTTCCTTTCTTCAGTGTACTTGCTGCCTTTGTCAAAAATCAATAACCATACTCATCTTTGAATTCTCTATTCTGTTCCATTTGTCAAACCCTTATACAGCCTCAGGTGAAAACTTTTATCAAACATTAGTTTTTTAAAAGTATGTCTGGCTTGCCTTTGAATTTTGTTCAGGGTGCTACTAAAAGTTGATTTAATCAGTATTTTGTATGTTATCCCAATATGCCACAAATGGGAATTCTCTTTGCTCTTTTCTAGGGGATTTTCAGGTTTTGAAAACTCTTATTTTTTCAGTGGTATTTTATGTGCCACATTGGTACATGGGACTTTCCCCTCATGCATATTGCTTGATACATAAGTACATAATTCATATTTATTGAATGCACATTGAAAGATGCCCACTTAAAAAAATCTTTGACATTTTAAAATACTTGTTTGTCAAAAGTGAATCATCAGCTCACACCTAGAATGTGTCTAGGTTATACATTCTTAATTTCTAGCTAAAGTCTGAATTTTGCTATAATTCTGTTCTCACATTGATGGTTTTCTTAGATTTCTTTTCCATAAAGACTTTGAATTTAATTGTATTGTATTGCCTATGATATTTATTGCTTTATATCTCCCCAACAAATATCTAAACCAGTATCTTCTCACCTATTGAGACCCAGACTAATATATTCCCTCCTTATGTAGAGTTCTGAACTATATGTTCTTAGGATCAGTAGTTTAATCTATGTAAAGATAGTCCTCTGCATATAGTAGCCTAAAGGATGTTTTTACTAGGGTCCTTGTTAATGTAAATACATTTTTATTCTCTAGAACATATAATATTTGTACTTATAGTATTAGTTTTCTGGTTGGCTAGGTCATAGAATGATTTGCTTTATCACTGTTTTCTTATTCATTTGTCAGTTTTCTTATGAACTTCATGCTGTGTTGATTTCTGGCAAGATTTTTATCCCTTTTGCTGGATTTTATAAAGAGAAGAATAATTTCTGCCTGCTGTAATCCTTTCTATGGAATTATATTAGTCTTATGACACCAGATCTCTAAATAGCTAATCTAGCCAGGCAGTACCCACTTGAAATCCTTAACAATTCATTAACTCTATTCACCTTGTTTATGAGGTCTCCAGTACTGGAACATAAATTTACATAATATGATGTGTTATTTTGATTTTTCCTTACTAATATTTATGTTACATTTATTCACTGAACATTTATTGCATGCCCACGAGGTACAAACCATGTTTTTCATTTCTCAGGCGGATGACATGTGGATAGGAAGCAATCTACTTTTAAGGAATTCACAATTTACTGAGCAGGCTGTGCTGGAAAAACCCCATTACACATGCTACCTACAATTAACAGCAGAATAAATAATGATACTAATAAAATGGAGGAAAACATTTCCAAAGATTTCATGGAAAAAGTAGAATTTGAATTTTCTCTTCAAAGATGAATAGGTGGAGGACACGAAAAGGACTTTGTGCACAAACCTGCATCAGGAGGCTTACAGACATGTAAGTACAAAATGGAGCAGTAGTCACATTGGAGGAGGGCATGCTATGTGAAAGGCCATAGCTGGAGATAAAGTTTGGAAAATGTGTTGTGTTAGAGTGTAGGGAGTCCTGAATACCAAGATTTTGAACTTTTGAGTATGGAACAAAGATAAAAGATTGTTATTTATAGATACACAGTTTATTACTAATATAAATACCAACTTTGCTGTGCCTAGTTTGTAACAGGAACTGAACTAGCTGTTCTACATCCAACCTGTAGAGAAATGACAAACAGATAGCTGATATTATTCCCATTTTACAAGTGAAGAGCGAAGGAAGACTAATCTGGCAATGTTGCAAACATGTATTAAGAGTGTTGGGACTGAAATGCAAACTATTAGTAGAGGAAGAAACAACATCACTGACTAAACATATACTTTTGTATTTTCCTTTCACTTAAATTTCCTAAAATTTGCCTGAAAGGTAGATTTAAAAAAAAAATTCACAGTCATACTGGCAAAATGGATCACAAAACTATGAAGAATACCCCAAAAGTGAAAGGGATAGTTTTACATTGCAAAAATCTCCCATGACTCCAAGTGTTTATCGGAAAGGCCTACTACAAAGGTGGGAGCTCAGAGGGTGCCCCAGGCCTGGAGGTGGAGATCCTGGCACTAAGGGAGGAGCCATGGAGTATATTCTGGAACAACTGATTGAGGTGTTTCAGTAGAAGTAGTCAAGGGTCCACACCTCCCACCACTGCCCTTTGGGTCTTGCAGTGACAGCGTGTCCATATCAAATAGGGTCCTTTAGTCAGGGAGACCAAGTAGTACCTAAGAGCATAGCAACCCCAAGAAGGGGCTATCCTGTCCAGCATAACCCCATTGTACAACCACTAATTGAAACATCTGAATAGTATAGCTAACTCTCCTCTGCACTCTGGATCTCCAAAGAGATTAAACCTTCACAGAGCACCTAAAAATCATCTTAAATAAAAAGATAAGTCTATAGGCAAAAATTAACAAACATTTGAGGGGACCAGTTCCATTTTTAAAAACCAAAATTCAGTAAGTACCAAATTCAGTAAGATAGTTTTCTGAGTTTCCACTACATATTTTTCTGTTCTTTTCTTCTGATTTATGATTCTCTGCAACCTGCCAGTTTCCAATCCCAAACACAGTTGACATTTCCCTTGAATGCACGTCATCCTCATATTTCCTGCACTGAGCCTATGAATTTCTTTTCATATGCATTGCTGTTATTTTTCATTTATATCATCTGAATGTTGATACTTAAAATCAGAATCTTATATCATCCTCCTTAAATCAGGCACTGATAAACTTTGGAGAGTTCTACATCAAGACTCAAATTTATTCTTATTTTGAAAGTTCTTACAGCAGAAATTGTTAAATTTAAAAAAGCACTAAATTTAGGAGGCTGTGGTAAGGCAGTATATTTCAGTATGTGTTACTATTTCAGCATATTTTCCAAGAGATTTTATACATATACTTGTGAAGAATAAATATCCACAGTAACTAATTTTGTTTTAATTAACACCAGAGAAAATAACATTGGTTGACACAAAAAACTATTTTCAGGTTTTCTTTTTTTAACTGTGTCAGTTACCATTTAGAAGGTGGTAGAGGAGCAGCCTATATTCATTATATAGCATCCCTTCCCCCACTAAGAATAAAACCGGCTAGTTATTCAAAGATGACAATACATAATACTCACATTTTGTAGTCATCAAATTTTCAAAAGATTGGGCCCACTGTAACACTTCCTCCAAAGTAAGTCTGTGAAAAGAAACAGAAAGCAGTAAAATATTCTCAAAGTTTTACTACACCATATAGAACTATATGAAAATAATACCAAAATATACTTACACGCCATTTGTGTCTGGTTTTGAATGGAAAGCTATCTTTCTATGATCTTTTACATTTTATTTTTACTGTTTTAAATTTGTAAAAATTATAAATAGTATATATACTTGAGATACACTGAAATAAATATTAAAAAGATAAAGAACTATAGTCCCTATCTCATTTCCATATTTCTACTATTAGTATTTCAATAGATTATTTTAATCTTTTTGTTACGTGTATATCTGTGGTTTTAACCAAAAATAATCATACTGTGTGTCCATACATTCTTTATATGTGTGTAATAGTCTAAGTAAGCATTTTATATATCATAATTATCTTAGTCATGTATAGTGTTATAATTTACAATTACAGATATATAATTAGTCATAGTTACATTGCTTTAATGACTGTATATTATTCAACAAGGGAGCATTCCACAGTTTGCATAATTATTCTCAAAAAAACACTTTGATTATTTCTCATTTTTCAGTGTTAAAACCAAATGTAGTTCAACTGTTTTAGATTTTCCATGCCCATGTAGGTAACTTCTTAAGAGATTAATAGAAATAAATTAAAAATGGGTGAAAATAACACAGTTTTGAGGTTCTTGGTACAAATTGCCAAATTGCTTTTATAGGGTGGTGCATTGTGTGTTCCTGTCACTAACAAAATGTTTACCAATTTATCTATTAGCTTCGAGTTTATCCTATGTGCATGTACTCATATAATAAATTTAGTACTGCTGTATCAATCATTTTCTCAGTCTCTCATTTGCTTTATTTTGGATTTTCAGAATTTTAATTTTAATTACAGTGTAATATGTCAAGTTACATTTCACATAAACAATATAAATAAGGCTATTTACTATTTAGAAAATATCTGTGAGATATGCTGGCTTTGAAACCTCATTTCTTTTTATGTCATTAAGTTTCATGAGATCGAAATTGGGAAGTGAGTGTATTCTCAGACAAATTATAGTTTCCTTTTTAAAAAATAGTTAATGTGTTCATTACCATTTGGATTTTTTATTTTCTTGTTTTTGAGAACTGAATATTATCCAAGTGGCTCTGGATATAAGCAAAATCTTTCCCATGGCTGTACTGAGTCAGCCCAAAAATTAGTGCTGCAAGAATAGCCATCAGCATTAGTAAGATCCTAACACAATGAAGAAAGATTAGCTAAAGAGGTTAAAAAAATAACCTAGAACATTGAAAAGTTCAAATAGCTATTATTTTCTAAAAATTAGCTGGATCCTGTCAGTTTTGGAGAGACCATTTGTGCAGTACTGAGGCTTAACAGTATACTGTGTTAAGATTGCTCTCGAAAAACATTTCCATAAAATATATGACTCGTTCTTTTCCATTATTAGAACTTTAGAAGTAACCTAAAATAACCTTTGCAAGCCAGTGAGAAGGAAAGTGGTAGGCAAGACTTACTGCATGTCTTTCTGTTCCACTCATTCCCATTATATAGGAATGGATAAAAACTACAGATTGAGGGATGATGTTGTCACTGTGTTGAGTAGCTTAAAATTAGGTGTTGGAAATTGTTGGTAAAAGAATTCATTTGCCTCCAAGGTTCATGAGATTTATGGAGATAGATCATGTTTGGAAGAGTAATTATGTTTAGAAGTCAAGTTGTACAATGAAATTTGTTTGAAACTCATTTTTACTTGCAGTTTTTTTCTTGAGTATCTCACGAGTTTCATGTTGGCCCATGAGTATCCAGATGCTCTCATCAGAATTCTTTTAAATGCCCTTGTCCTCTTAGCCACTGAATTTCCTGATATAAGTTCTCCAGTTTTGCATTCTCTCCTTTCTTCTGGGCAGATAGGCAGTGAATACCAATGACACATGGGGACATTTTGAGGTGTTGTGAGGGGTGCACAGAGGAATGAAGAGTATTTGGAGTCTAATAGCCCTATGTCCTAATCCCAGTGCCGTACTTAATAGATTTTGGTTTTACTATACTTAAAATCTCTAAACCTCAGTTTCACTGTCTATAAAATGGATATAATAATGTCTTTCACAAAATTATCATGAAAATAAAATTAGTTCATGAATGTAATGGAAATATGAAGTGGTGTTGTTTGTTATCAAGTAGGCTTCCATAAAACTGAATTCTTTTTTCTTGATGTTTTCCTCATAGTGAGTCTATAAGGAACGTAGTAAGAAATGCAAGCTCTGATGATGCTATTCCATGGGAATCATTGGCAGAAAAGGAAGCTCCTTCCAATGAGCCTGTTACATCTTTCTCATTGAATGCACCTGTGTAGCTCAGCAGCCTCAATGCATTTAAAATGCTGAACTTTGGTCTCAGTGTTTATTTCACCCACTACTGTGGCCTCATTCTCACTACCACACAGTAACTTGCAAGCACTTTTGGACATTTGGTTCTTCAGCAGAGAAGCACTCAGGCCAGAGGCTCTAAGCATCCGAGGAGGTATGGCCAGAACTGAAGTCTCACATGGCTCTAGGTTGGAAACTCATGGTTATTTTAATAGGGATCTCAGCCTGGGAATTCTTTGAGGGGAATAAATCCAACTGAATGAGTTGCTATCTTTCCCAGGCAGTATACTTTCCATTTTAATTCAGTTCTCATCCCATCTAAAAAATGGCCATATTTTTAGATGTGGTAAAATTTAAAAAGAAATTAGTTGCTTGATGAGCATTTTTTACTCTTCTGGTCTCATAACTTCCAACTAGGAATGAAGTTTCTGGCACTTCATACATGGAGGGTTTGAACTGTGAAAATATTTTGGATCAAAAAAGTTTCATTTTGACAAAATGCCGTAAAAATATTCATAATAGACTCCACAGTAACTTGCTGAATTCTCAGGTATAAACTATGAATAATGAAAACAGAATATTAGTGTAATACATAATTGCTCTTCTGGTGGAATTACTCAGGTGCAAATTTTACTTCCTAAATGAAATGTATTAAGAGAGGAGCTGAATGCATACAGTTATTTATCATGTGATTAAAAATGCTTTAAAATGTACATAGAATTTAAATACTACTTACTTGGAAGGCAGTTTCTGAGATCCATTTCTGCACATTTTACAAATCCAACAATTTTTCCTGCTCATTTTTCTAAGTAAATACAATATATATTTGTATGTCAGTCATATAAAAATTATGTTACAGTCAATTATAAATCAGAAAAAATACAGAGAAATTCGTGAATCATGTGAGGTTAGGGAGGAGAAAGGGGAGTAAAATTACTCATCTCATGAATATTTTATATGAATATAGACGCTTAGGGCTGGGGATTTAGCTCAGTGGTGATGCTGCCTGCCTCAAAAGTGGAAGATCCTGAGTTCAATCCCCGGTACCAAAACAAAAACAAAAAAAACCAAACAACAACAACAAAAAGGATATAGGTGCTTAGATTTCTAAGTGACATTAGAATTAACATAGCCCACCTATTTATTAAGTAATTGAGCTTTTAAAATACAGATCTCTGAGAAAGATCTTTTCATTTAGAGCCTGACAAAGACTGCAAAAACTTATAAGGCTTCCTTTTTTTTGACAATTCTTATTTTTAGAAAGCTCTTTCAATATATTCAGTAAAAGTTTGTCTCTCTATAATTAGCCACATAAAATGGTATAAATAATGAAATAAAGAGTAAAAGTCCTTAAGAATGAATTCTGAGAAGGGTGTTGCTTATATAGTTTTATCCATCTTGGCATTGTAATATTTGACTTTAAAATACAAATAGAGTTTATTCAGTCCAAGCACTTTTATATAACATTACATGTAATAGAGTTTTTAAATTCAAGACTTTGAGAAAAGAACTAAACAATTTGTTATCCATAATTAAATCCACATTTTATAATGAAAGCTGAAAATAGTTGCTAACCATATGTAGGCATTGATGTACAATGAACTATTGAGGCTGAAACAGTGAGTTTTTATATCAGCCTTTATTGAGTCATTCAGAACATCTCCTGAGTGTTTGTGTTATGGGGCAAGCTCTGCCTACCACTGTGTGATCTGCATAGATCTTGTTTCTCTTTCTCCTGCCCTCGCTGACAAGCAAAATTACATGCAATTGAACTTGGATGCCAGATACACAGGGGCTATGGGTACACAGAGGAGAGACCTACCAGACCTCAGAGTCCATAATGAAGGCTTCCCAGTAAAGTATTTTCTGAGCTAGAAGCAGCAGAATGTGCAGGAAAGGGTTGAGTAAGGGAGGAAACCACTTGAGCAAAGGCTAGGAGGCCGGGCTCATTTCCTTATTGAAGAAAGGAAAGGATTATAGTTGTGACAGGAACATTGAGTATGGCAGGAAGACAGCCAAGAGAAAAGATTAGTTAAGAGTGGACTAATAATCGTGTGAAAAATGTTCAGGAAAGCTATAATATTGTGGGAGAGGAAATTGTAAGGATGAGCTGAGGCCAGAAAGGTAGGTCATGCAGGCCACAGATTTCATGTTAAGGAGTTGGAAAATCATTAATAGTTTTAAAATTCAGCATAGCTGTGTTAACACTTGAAACCATTTTTGTGACTAGTCTGGATCATAGTGTGACAAGAGGTGAATCAGCGAGAACAATTGGAAGGCAACTGCAGGAGTTCAGGTGAAGGATAATTAGGAGGAGGAAGTGGAGATGGGGGTGATGGGTTTTAGGCCTTTTGGAGAAAGAATAATTAGAACTTCTTGATCAAATGTAAATGGAAAGTGAGGAAAAGAAAGAAAAACTGATGGAGTGAGAGATTTGTCTTCAAAGTATAGGTGGTCAGTTTTCATAAACACTTAAAAGAACTAGAAATATAAGATGTCCAGGAAGAGACATAGCTCAAGATGAGTGACTGAAAAACACAAACATTTAGGAGCAATATTGTAAAAGAGGAGCTTTCAGGACAAAACTAGAGTGGTATGATATCACAGAAACCAATACACTTATCAAAAAGGGGAGTGGCCAGTTGTGAGTTAAAAACTGGGAAGAAAATAAGAAAATGAAGGATTGAAAGAGCTGTCAGATTTGTTAACAAGATAATTAATGACCACAGTAAGAGCAGTTTCAGTGCAACAGGGAGGGCAGAAATAAGACAGTCCAAGACAATGGAGGGATGCTTATGTGGAGCTACTTGTGGCGTGTGTGTGTGTGTGTGTGTGTGTTTTGTGAAGATGTTGACCAGAATGCTGTAGTAGAAAGAGAGACTGCACTATGTCATTTGATCATTCTTGCCTGCATATGTTTAGGGGGTATCATTAAAATAAAGTCTTCAGTATGAGTGCTACATCCTCTAGATGGCAAATGGTAGCCATGGACAGAGATGGAAGACACAGGAGAAAGAGAGAAAAATCAATAGTATATTAAATTTCTGAGAAAAAAACATGGGCTAGAATTCAGAATGTAGTGCCTGGAACATCAGAGAAGGAGAAATACTAAAGAATTCACTGTTACCTTATAACTGGTAGGGATGAAGAAAGTTTAAGCACTTATTCAAGTGCATTTGAAGGTTTGGAGATAAGAATTTATGGATGAGGGACTGGGGATTTAGCTCAGTGGTTTTGCCACCTGCCTTGCAAGTACAAGGTCCAGAGTTTGATCCCTAGTACCGAAAAAAAAATTATGGAAGATATAGTCTGATGTATTTGATTTTCTATATGGATCCCTGCTGCAAGTGAGGAAGATTATGGAGCTAAATGTATTTAAAGGAGAAACAAAATAAAAGTGAATATGTTAGTTCATTAAGTAAGACTTTTGATTATAAATATAATTGCAGAGTAGTATGAGGAAAAGGAAGAGTTTGCTTTAGGGATATGTTTCTATGTGCAATTAAATTCTAAATTATTTTAAATGTTAAGACTAAAGATGTTGGACTCTGTACAGTTGGTAATAGTAACTGTTTGCAGTCTTTAAACAGTATGATGAAAATAAAAGCCTTTTCCTACAAAGATAAATACAACTAAAGATGATCAACACTGAAATAATTGAGACTAAGAAAACTGTTACATTGACTACTCATAACTGAGCCTGTGTATAACTGGACTCTGAACAACATTAAGGTAGTTAGTTCAAGTTTCAAGATTTCTCAACTGTGATCAAGTATAAGATGTCATACCCAATGGCTCTTGGTTATTTTCCAAGGAGGAGGACAGTAAAGAATTTACTCCCGAGCCAGGGATGTGGCGCAGCAGTGCCATGCCTGCCTGGTAAGCACAAAGTCCTGAGTTTGATTCACGGTACCAAAAAACCAAGAATTTTCTCCCTTCATATATCCTCTCTTTGTCAGTATAACTAGTTATCTTTGTCTTCTAATGGCACCTGACTTGTCTGTTTTTAATAATAGGTTTTGTATCCCATTGTCTCCTCACTTTATCTAATAGAAACATGTATACACATTTTAATATTTTTGTTAGTGATATCTATAACTCAAATGTATGCCATTGTCATATTTAATAGTTTAATGGATTTGTTTGGCAAAAGCACAACAGTCTTGTATGCAACACTCACTGTGGTCAGAAGCACAGTGAAGGTAATTTCCACATGCGCTAGAATTTAGGGGTTTCCCACAGCTCCCTAGAGGTGAGAGAATGTATTCAAATAATTCTGGGCTCTGAAGTCAGATAGACGTGCACCTGAGTTCAAGCTTTTCTTAGCTATATGACCTTGCACATGTTAATTCAACTTTCAGATCCTCAATGTCCTTTTCTCTCAAATGGAACTGTAAAGATTAGAAAAATAGATTTATGCAAAACTTTCTATTCCCGTTTATCTGATCTTCCTTTAGCTTCTTGTACTTTCTCACTCAGGAAATATTTCCTAAGCGTTTTTGTATGTACAGGAAATAACATTTTCTGGAAGACTACATTTCTTACTTTTTTAAAATTTCAACTTGGATCTCACCAGTTTTCTTCATTAATTTAGTGCTTCAACATATGTACATACTCTCTGCAAGCAATCCTCTTCATTTTTTGTTACTCCCATATTTCTGTTGTTCACACAGTATTTTATTAGATAGGAACCAGTACCTACTTAGCAGATATGTCGCAGTTTTAAAATTAGGTGAGTCTTTTACAAAGGTTCAGATACATCTGGACATTTGTATCACTGTGAGAGGCTGAGGCCACTAGGTAGGATTTATTTGACCAGCAGTGCTGAGGTGTGTCTGAGTGCTAACGGGGAAAGGACAAGAAGATAGTCCAGCCAGAGCATCTCCTTAGGTGCAGTTATGCAGGTGATCTCCTTTACAGAGATGCTTCATCCCAAAGGAGAGAGAAATGAGATCTATGCAGGTACTCCTTGCCTTGCTGTGAGATCCCAAACAAGGATCTATTCATGTAGTGAAATAATTCCATCAGCAAAGAGTGTATATACTAGTAGCATCCCTATGCTCAGTTACATAACTGATTCAGAGACAGTCTTTCTGGTTCAGGTTTTCAGCTTTTTCAGTTCCTTAACAAATGGGAATTGTTGGATGCTGTGCCAGTGACTAGAGTTCTACTGCTAAACACTGCCTGACATTTGATGGATTCCTGTCTGCCAACTAAGGTTTCTGGAACTGAATGTCCATCCACAGGCCAGTGTTTCTTTCTATTGATTACTACTGAATTCACAATCACCATGCACCACTACTGTGTTGGAATATCATATCCCTTGTGATTCAGTTACATTAAAACAAAGAAGTAAATTCACAAATACTTAACCTAGTTTCAAGTAAAAATGTCAGATTGACACCTGAGTTTATTACATCTCCTACCCAAAACACTATTAAAATTATATGACAAGCATATACAAAGCTTAATATAAAAAGGAAAGGAGATTAAACAAGGAGAAAGAAACAACAACAAAATATTTCAAAGTAATTTTGGAAAATGGAAAACAGATGGATGAATAGAAATTAAAATTCTCATACTGCTAAAATGAGAAAATGTAGCCTTTGGAATTTCATCTACAAAATGAAGAACATATAATTCTCAATCTGAGGGACAAAGAGTTTCTAAAATAATAGCATCTTAAAAATACATAAAATCCTGCATTCAACAATATTTAGCATTAAATAATACATCTCCATCTATAATTTACATAAAAAATATGGGCTGGCAGAGTCAAATTGTAGCACATTCACAATTGAGAAATTTTAAGATACTTTTGGTAATTCCAAAAATGATAAGTTCTAATTTTTACAAAAAATTATTGTTCTTCTTGATAAGGATTTGATTAATATATTTTGTTAATAAATTAAAATTGTTTTTATTAGAAAAATATAGCTAAAGATCTCTATAGTAAATTATGTCCTTCAAATCAATGTTCAAGTAAAAATAAACATCAACCTCAAAGATTCCATAGAACTACACTTCTATTTTGGCCAAAAGAGAGTTCCCAGTATATAATGACCTAAACTGATACATTATAAAACTGATTTATATTGTAGATAAACTCACCAAGATTCAAATCAACAAAAATCCTTTTTTCCTCATGTTGGTGGTAATGATACATAGAAACATTCCATTAAGCTAAAAATAAGCAAAAGCAAAAAGAGTAGTGTGAGCTTCCTAAAGAATATACATTTGGCAAAAATTTCTATAAATACCCCATCTTTGGTTTTAAGTAAATAATTTTTCCATTTTTACAAATGCTGGAATATAGTCATACTCATTTTTGATTTATTAACTCCTTACCTAGGATATTAATATCATGGATTATTATTTTAATGTGTACATAAATATATACTTTATTTGTATTTTCCATTACTTTTTACTGAAATATATTTATCTTAACATAGTGCAGTAGCCCATTTATGCCAAAGGCTTCAACTTTTGAATTTTAGAATGAATTTGAAAAGAAAACCTTTTATTATGTTCCATTGTTATGTGCCATTCCAAAAAATCGGGCACTAGACATAAAAGTATTAATTTGCCTTTTATTTTTCAGTATACTCTTGGTAAACCTAATGTGCACTTTTAAAAACAATCTAAGCATAGGGTATTTAGTAGTTTAGTTTTCCATTGTGGTTTTTAGCTCCAGTTTTTTTTTCTCCTGATAATTTTTTAAAAGAGCAAAACCACTTTATTGACAGAATCTTAGAATGGTTATAATTGCATTAATGATGACACAAGTTGAGTAGCTATTACGGCATACAGGAATTCATATTTCCTTCAGCATTTTTTTAGTAAGCAAGCGCTCCTTCAGCATTTTCTAAAAAGAATTTTAATTTTTTTTGGTACCGGGGATCGAACTCGGGACCTTGTGCTTGCAAAGCAGCGCCAGAACAACTGAGCTAAATCCCCTGCCCTCCTTCAGCATTTAAATGAAAGCTCCAAGTTAAACAAAAAAGAATTTCCTTAACCTTTTTCACATATTTAAATATTTGATTTGCCCAATAGGCAAAATTCTTTCTTTTCATACATTGTATCTGTAAAGAAACATTTAATATGCTCCTTTATTTTATGATGCAGTATGTTGCATAAAATTTAGAAAAATCTAGGATAATTTACATTTTAGCAATATTTTGTTGGCCATAGCCCATGAATTTCATGTGTTCTTTATAAAATCAAGTAATTTGTGTGTTGTTTTCCTTATGAACAACATGAAAAAATTTCATAACATCAGGATTAACTGTGCTTTGGGAAAAACCTTACAACAACCCATACCAGGAATCTGTACAGTTAATAAATTGATAGAATAAATGATTTTATAATACATGATTTTTAAACAAACTATTCTGAAGCGTCTGATTTTATGCCATTAACTAAACATATACACACATGTACAAATAAAAAAGCATAAAATGAAGAAACATACTCCAAAACTAATTATTTCCTCTGTTGCCCAAATTAAAAGTTTCTTTTATATGAGGTGACTTTAAGTATAGAAAGACTAACCAAGGCAAAGAAATATGTTTACAAATTTTTGTTTTTTCTTAGGAAAAATACTGCTAATATTCCTAGTAGTCCTGTTGTTGAAATCAACATCCACTAGTCATTCATATCAAGCTAACATTCTTATACTTACCAAATATTTTACAGAATCTCATACTTACAAAGATAACCTGTAGAACAGTGCACCATGGTGAATTTTATTTCCTTTTTGTTGTGATCCTTTTGAAATCACCTTCTGAAATTTTATGAGACATCCAGCATTTTGTTTTTCCTGCACAAAAAGACTTTACTGTCTCTATAATTACCTTCTATGGCACTCTGGCCCCCGTATGAATGTTCTGTTTTTACAGACACGTATCTATGCAAAGAGAGGTTTTGTTGAATATGGAAAGTAGTGCTGTGGGACTGCAATGCATTGCTGATAAAGAGGTCTTATTTGCCACTCTCAGAACATCTGAAGTGATCAGATGATTGGAAGCAGCAGCTCCATGAAATCTTCAGTGTAGTAGTCAAAATTTTTTCCAAAATAATTTATATTTCTAGTTATAGAAAATGCATAAAATAAGATAAAATCTGCTTTAAAAAAAAGAGAACTGAGTACAAATAAGTAAGCTACTATGACTGATACTTGCTACCAAATTATTAAGAACTATTAACATCAACATGTTTAGAATAGTCGAATTACTAAGAAGTTTTAGTATTGAAGGATCTAAAAAGGTTGCTTTTATAATTAAACCTTTCTAATTTTAATATGTCTGTTAAAATCTGAACTGAGCACAGTGCTTCCGATGACTTCTAATGCCTACAGAATATGATGAGATTGTTAATGCCATTGTCTTGTACTTAATCAACCATGTGTATAGGGGTGTGTGTGTGTGTGTATGTGTGTGTGTGTGCCTGTATGAAAGAGAGTGGTGGGAATGAAGAAATGCCAGAAATACTAGAATAGGAGTGGAAAGATCAGAATGTAGTTGATGGAGTGTTTAAAAAAATATTTAGGAACCCAGTGAGGTAGAAATTATCCTTATTTATATTTAATAATTTTTGAGGTTCAAACCTAAAGAAACTGAATATATCAGTCAATGATGAGTATGGGACTATAAAAGGCAAATAAAGTCAGAAGCTCAATAGATGTAGCAGTGAAACAGGAAATAAAGAGTTGGGTTTAGAATATTTGGATGGATCTGGGTTGTTTCCTGTGAGCACCATTTTCACTAGTTGCTGGTTGTCCAGTTTCCTTTTATATCTCAGAAGATATAAACGCTAGAATGCTGGATATCTCCAGGAAATTTTTAATGTAAGAATCAACCCCCATACCCAATCAAAAAATTTGTTTGTTAGAATTCAGGAATATTTCCCTTTTCTCATGGTTTGTATGCAACAAGCTAGCAGGAACATTCTGGAAGCAATACCCTAAAAGAGTGAAAGTTTCAAAGCCTACTTAAAGGCATCAAATATGAACATCTATCCATGGAATGAAACTGATTTATCAATAGGGACTGAGAAACAAGCAGAGCAGTGATGAGTAACAGAAGGGAAGGTACAAGGTAGTGCTTAAAGGGATGTAATACACAGTATAGATGCTTGTAGGAGATTTTTAAGTATTTTTAGTTTCCTTGAAGTAAATATAGAAGTTTGATTAATAAAGTCAAAGAAATGTAGTTCTTCAGCTATAGGTGGATCACACTGATTCAGAGCTGTTGGTTCAGGGCAGATAAAAAGATCATTTTTTATCTTTGTTGATACAGCCTGGGAAGCCCTTTTTTCTGAGAGGCTAAGTATTTCTGATTAACTGAGATGAACTTACTCTTGAGCACTTTTCCTCTATTTCAATATTAGCCAAGTTCAAAGTAATGAGTTCAAATGTTCACTATTAAAGAGTATTTAATATTTGTATGGTGAAAATTCAAAATGAATTTCACAAAAGCACAATAATCAAATATTAAGAATAAGTATCAAGAGTTGGCATTTGTATCTTCTACATGAAAAGGAGAAATAGAACGACTTGTTTTTTGGTAGTGGTGCTTTAAGAAATAATCCAACTATTTACAGAGCATCTTATTGATATTATAAGGTTATTGCTTTTTCCTCATAAGATGGCACTTTTCAATATACTCTAGAAGCAACATAAATTCTTAGTGAAATGTATCCTGCAGGCAGCATTTTATGTCATTGTTTGTAGGAAGATTGGAGTCTACTTGTTTTTCTTAAACTCTAGGTTTGTGTCTTTGTCTGTAAGCCTCCCCTCTTTGCCCTCTCTGCCTCAATTTCCTTCTCATGCCTTATCTTTGAAAAACAGTCTCTTCAGTCTCCACATGTTACAAGTATGTCCTAAAACTCTGCAACTGCAAAACTTGACCTATCTTCTAGTCTTACACTTTCTGCCTTATTCCCAAGTAGAAACAGTCTAACTCTGTGTGGCAACACAAATTAGATGACTGGGTGCCCACCACTGTTGACCTCACAAAATGTACTTTTAAATAGTAGTTAAAACTAGCAACCAATTTTGTCTGCATTTGCTCAAATGACTTTCTTTAAAAATGCCTTTAATTATCATGACCCCACCATCTTGTAAAGTTTAGTCACTGATTGTCAATCATTCTTTATTTCTTTTGGTAGCTTCTCTAAATCTATTCTCTTGGCCCTCCCATAAGGTTAATACAGCAATGCTGTCTGGATTTGGATTTCCAGTCTAGAATTGAAAAGGAACAATGGTCCTATAGTGATAACTCACTATTCATTAACTTGTTCTGGGAGATACAACAAGTACAAAAACAAGTACTATACAAGCCAAAACAAATTGTTTCTGCTAGGAAGGACAGCAAGTCTTAAGGCTAGGGAAACTGACAAGTTCTAGGTTGTGCATTGAATGTCAAACAAACCACAAGCACTAGGTCAAAGTTTTCACACTAAAATGTGTCGAGAATCAAACTTGAGTTTCAAAGCAGCCGAGTACCAAGCCATGACCCCACTTGGCTTCTGTTTTCACTTCCCAACCAGATTTCAAGGGATCAGCTAGAATCTTATTTTTTCTGTCTGATATATTTGAGGCAACATTAACATTGTTAGGAAAGTGGTATTCTTTTCTTGGAAAAAAAAGAGACAGTCCTCAGTTGTGTGATTTAGACTGATTGCATCTATTTGCTTTTTTTGTACATTCCATTTTTAATCCATGGAGTCATCTGAGAACTAGGTTGACCATACATCCCTTTGAAGAAGATTTGCATTGACTCCGTCAGGAAGCCTAAGCAGGACCATCCCAGGACTGCTTTGTTATTTTCTTGGTTTTGAGTTCCTGAACTACACAGATAAGGTAAATTTAAATGAGAAACCCAGAACAGCATAGACCCAGTATTATGCTGAAATAAAAATGGTTCCTTGTCATCTGTCTTTGCAGCTGACTAGTTTTTCCTGTCTAGTCTTTCACTGAAGGTACAGGTGTTTAAGAATCACTGACTCAATTCAGGGCAGCAGTAGATCATGTTTTCTGACCTACAAATGATCCTTATAAAACAGATCTCTGAGATTAGAAAATTCTGAACTCAGCTGTACTTTAAATGCTAAGTGTTTATTCTGGTTTAGGATTCTGTTTGTTTTTTCCTTGGACATTTCCCTTACAAGCTTTGCTATTCATT